TACGGCGGGTTTTTTGTTGGGGTAGCTGGCACCCCGCCGTCATCCACATAGCAGATCTCCACCAGTGAGGAGACGCGTGCGTAAGAGAAGTAGAACGAAGACTTATTTACATTATAGATGAAATATAGGAATTGTACAGAGATTCAAAAGATCCCGCATTATGTACAACAGAGATTCAGTTCATGATTCCGCCCATGATTCAGCTCAAAATTCAGCTCCAGGCAATCCAAACGCTCGATCCCGGTGAACGGCTTTTTTGACACGTTCCCACGCTTCCGGGTTGTCGGTGCATTGAAATGGCCTCGCGTAGATGACAAAAGCCGAGTCAAGAGGTTGACCTAATGAGACCCGCCACATTGGTACCATCCCTCCCCCCCCCCCTCTCGCTGTTCGAGCCCGTTCAACAAAAGGCTTGTCCTGCGAAGCTTTCGTCGAGACCCGATTGCTTCTTGGAACATATACAGGACAGCGTCTTGCAGACTGGGCGCCGATGGGGTTGAAAGCCTCCCTAGTAGACCGGCGTACGCACAATGGCGTCTGCCTAGACGAATCGCCTGGCCATACCTAACACCCTGTCCAGCCCGGACCGGGGGGTCCAAGAGGCCCTAGTAGCCCACGCAAGGACCGGGACGCAAGCCAATGGGGTCCCGTACTAGGGACTCTACTCATTGTTCAAAAGGTGTAATAAAGCTTTTCATCATCATCTTCCCGTTGAAGAGCACGCGTTTGCACTAGCATTGAATGAAATAAAGGAGGTGTTGGTCGGTAGATAAAAGATTACAACTAATTAGCAGTTAGTAAAGTTGCTACAGTTGCTGAACTTCCATCCAATCATGCTGTTTGCAAATGTCTTCGCGATTTATTCCAACCATACCTATCCTATCCTTTTATTCCCTTCTCTACCCCCCATTCCTCGTGAGCTACTGTTGAGGTGTCCTCCCCCGAGAAACAGTTACTGGGCTCACTTTTCTCTTCATTTAAAATCACTTCCCCCCAAACGCGAGCCGCACGAAGGTCAGACACGCTCGCAGCGCCATAGCGTCTTGTCGCGTAACTATTGTTTAAATATTTTTACGATTTCAAATGTTAAACTAAACACCCAAAGTGACATGAAGTAAAATACTTTTATTAAATCAATTTAAGTATTATGACAATTATCAACACAAAACCAAAAAAAGCTTTTTGGTATGCGCTGCACTTGCGACTGAAACCACCACCGACGATGCCAAGCAATCGAGACGGCCGGTCATTGTCCTACAAGCGCGACAACCGAACAACGGTGTAACGTCTAACTGTATGTAACATTTAGCTTGTACGTGTACTTCCTTACGTTAACGAGTTACCGGATACCGGTTTGCGTTTACCGTCTTACCGTAACGGTTGTCTTCCAACGTTTTGAGCTTCTCATACGTAAACGTGTATGCCTATCCGTCTTCGCAAGCCATAAATGGTGATGCTAGCTGCATTTAAACTGCATTTAACTTACATATGATTGAATCATCATTGCGGCAAAATCACGAGACCTTTTTTTTTATCGTGTACAGTATCCTGGTATACGCAAAAAAGTGAAAAATACAAGGCGACTGTAACGATGGCGTAGACATCTTGTGACACTTCGTGCAACCACAGTCGTGAACATGTTGACTTACGCGTAATGTTTTTGAGGGGAAAATTATTTTTAAAAAGTAACTGATTTGTAATAACGCCACTGCGCGGTTTTGCACCAGACGTACAATGCACAATGTTTCTGCAATAGCAGTGTTGTGATTGCCTAATTCGCTATGGCCACACTAGATGGCGCCACCTATTCAGCTGGTCGGGGGCTGGCGTATTTTTGGTTTCTATGTTTCAGGGCATTCTAGCTTTGGTAAACTGGCTTAAGCAATGTAATCACTATTGGAGCTCGCACTTTGGCTTATTTTAACTCGACAGCTAGAGTATCCGAAGTGTGGACACCGAGATTTCCTGCAAAGGTGGGCCTTATACGGCCGGTTCATGCTGTCCGAGATTTTGCGCGTTTGTGCCATCATATTTGTATAGTGGCTAGCCACTGTAATGTTTGTGCTTGAAACATAAAAATCAAAGTGGTGGCGCTGGCCAGCCTAGGCTTTGCTCGCCGGGAAGGCGGATGACGTCACGGGTAACATGATGCGCCATTATGTGCACCAGCAGGAGGCCAATGGTGGCAGCGTTGTTTATGGCCGCGCGAACGCGTGGCCCCAACGATCTTGCACCGCATCTGTTTGAGGTTTCGCGCATGTGCAATGCCGCCGCTCCAACGTCCTGGGTACCCAAGGGGCTTGCGTACCGACGACGTAGGGGCGGTGGTATTGCGCATGCGAGAAACCCTAAACGAATGCGGCGAAAGATCGCTGGGGCCACGCGTCCGCGCGGCCATAAACAACGCTGCCATCACTGGCCTCCTAGCGGAGATAAGCTGCCCTGGCGCACATGATGGCGCATCATGTTACCCGTGACGTCACCCGCTTCACGGCGACCATACCCTAGGCTGGCCAGCGCCACCACTTTGACTTTTATGTTTCAAGCACAAATATTACAGTGGCTAGCCACTATACAAATATGATGGCACAAAGGCGCAAAATCTCGGACAGCATGAACCGGCCGCCTTGTATGGCCCACCTTTGCAGGAACTCTCGGTGTCCACACTGCGGATACTTTAGCTGTCGATTTAAAATAAGCCAAAGTGCGATCTCCAATAGCGATTACATTGCTTCAGCCAGATTACCAAGCTAGAATGGCCTGAAACATAGAAACCAAAAATATGCCAACCCCCCTCCTGCTGAACAGGTGGCGCCATCTAGCGCTGTCATAGCGAACCAGGCAATCACAACATTTCTGCAGAAACATCGTGCATTGTACGTCTGGTGCGAAATACGAGTGGAGCGCCGCGTATTGCCGCAGAGGCTGGCAAGCGTGTGCAATGTCATTTCTGGCCCGCTTTAGGACTACGCATGCAGTAGGGATTGTGCACAGGGTTGCTTTTGGGCTTGTCATGCTTGGCTCAATTCATTGGAGTAAGGTAGAAACAGACTACAGCTGTAGTTGGGAAGAGTAGTTACACTTTGAAGTATTTTTAGTTGTCCAGTGCCCATCGCAGCTACCGTGCGGTTAACTCAGTTATTGTCATTATTACCGTTATTGTCTTCTAATGCTTTAGTTGCTGCAAGTGTACCCGGATTCTCATTTATTCCTCTATCGAGGGTGTTAAATCGGTGGATGAGGTATGACTCATTGTTCACGTTCTCGGTCTGATTTAAATTACGTTTCTAAGAGTATTGCTCATAGTTTGTCGAATGCATGGTCGGGAAGGTTGAGATGTTTTTATACAGGTAGACTTGGTGCTGATTTCACGTGGGCTCTGATTATTCAAACGAATCCTAAATGGTGTTTCTGTTTGTCCGATGTAATGCGTACTGTACACGTTGTGTTCGAGCAGGTATATCACATTAGAAGAATCGCATGTTAGATTTCCTCGTATGTTAATCAAAAACTTGGATTGTGTGCTGTTTGCTTTGTCTGTTTCTCACATCGTTTTACATACAAGACTTCGTGACTTTAAATTAGGTGGCCATGAATTATTAGGGGGTGAAGTATTAATTTGAGGGTGGACAAGTGCGTCTTTGAGGTTGCTTGGTCGTCGGTAAACGACGCCAGGAGCGGATGGGACGGCGCGTTTCAGACATTCACTTTGTTTCAGAATGTTTTAATGTAATTTAAAAAAAATTGTTTACATTGGGGAGGTTTGTGCTGTAAGTTAGGCACAGGTTTGTACGTTGCGACTCTTCTTGCGGTAGTCTCTTCATAAGTCATCACGCTTCAGTTTTCTCGCTTTCTGAACGGCGTTATCAATTGCATGTTGGAGGGGGGGGGGGGCTATTTTTGTTTATTGAGCATAAGTTTAGCCACTGTGAGCTCGTGTCAAAATCAGCGTCTCTTGAGCAGATTCGTATAAAGCGGTGAACCTGGCTGTATGAAATACTGTTTTTACGGTGGGAAGGGTGATCGCTTTGGTAATGAACGTATTGTTGTCGATATGTTCGTTTGCGATAAAGGGTTGTAGAAAGCTTGCCTTGTTTTATCGTTATGGTAGCATTAAGAAAAATTACGGTTGCCTGCGAGTAGGTGTGTAGGAAGTGTATGTTCGGATGTACAGCGTTGTAAGTGTCGATAAAGTTGAGAAGTTCATCCTCGCTGTGATTTGATTGATATGTGGGGTTTAACGTCCCAAAACCACCGTTTGATTATGAGAGACGCCGTAGTGGAGGGCTTCGGAAATTCCGACCCCCTGGGGTTCTTTAACGTGCACCCAAATCTGAGCACACGGGCCTACAACATTTCCGCCTCCATCGGAAATGCAGCCGCCGCAGCCGGGATTCGAACCCACGACCTGCGTGTCAGCAGCCGAGTACCTTAGCCACCAGACCACCGTGGCGGGGCATCCTCGCTGTGGCTCCAAACAAGAAAGATGTCGTTTATGTATCTTCTATATAAGAGTGGTTTCAAGGACTTTTGTTCAAGATTCTAGCTCAAGATTCTAGCTTTCCCATAAATATTTTGGCATAATTGGGTGTCATTTTGGTACCCATAGAGGTCCCGCTAATTTGTCAAAAATACTCTTGAACAAACTCAAATAAATTTAATTCTAGGACCATCCTCGTCAATGTTGCAATGGTATAAAAATCTGGGGTGTCAGGTTGTCTATGGTCTGTGTACATGTTTTTAATGCAGCTACGCCATCATCGCGATAAATATTTGTATAAAATGAGGACACATCAAGAGCAACCAAGTACAAGTTTTCCGGCACACACAGACGTGCAATGTCTCGAAGAAAATGTGCGGTGCCTTTTATGTACGACGCGAGTAGTGACAAGGTGCTCGCAAGTGTCACACGAATTCCAAGTGCAGTCCCTGCACTGAGGAAACCACCCTCGTGCTGAGCGGCATATTTCTTCGTGTCATTCAAGAATGCTATATATTCTTCAATAAATGCCGCACTCTTGGACTTCTCCCTAGGTCCCTTTGAGGGTATTCAAGATGTCATCACAAAAATTAATCGTTCCATAAGTTGCACGAATTGCTCTGTTGGTTGAAATGAACGATAAGCCTTGTCCAACTTGTCTTCGTAAAAAAAAAGCCCTTTCAATACTTTTTCACTGAACAGCTGAAATTCTAAATGTAAACGCATTTTATAAAAACAAAATTGGCTGCAAATGGACTAATGTCAAGTGTGGCATGACTTTCAATGTCAATGCGTCCTCGTCTAATTTCCATGCTTCTTTTATAACGCCAACAAGTGCATTGCCATTTGGAATCTGGAGTCCCTTAGAGACAAATGCATTCCGTATGCATTTGACAATGTGCGGAAAATCAGAAATGAAGTGTAGGCTTCTTGCTCCGTCTACGGGATGAGGAACCTCGCACTTCATTTCCCACGATGAAGCTGGAAAAACAATAATGCTGTTTGAATACCGAAGTGATTGCAAAGTAATAATGCAACAACACGTTGGCACCTTGTGAATAACTGGATCAAGCTAGTGCGAATTCTGCCGCACCACTTGAAGTGCCCACCTATGATGCCAAATCGTTTCCAGAGGGAGCGATTCCAAGAAGCACCATCACTGACCCAAAAGTCGGTGAAGAGCCCAGCCTTTCAGCTAGTAGCGTGGCCTCCAGCAAAATTTTGGACAGTACAGGAACTTTAACATTTTCATGGGTAGCAAATACACCCAATATTTTGGTCCATTTTCCTGCAAAAGTGAGAGGCAGCACCAAATAGAGTGAGTTGGGAGCAAAGTGCTGCTTTTAAGGCAAAACACCCGCATTCCTTATTGCTGTTCTGTAAAAAAATGACAAAACAAACAAGACAATATTATCTGGGGACACAACACTACGCGAAAATTTATGCAATGCTTGAGTGCTGAAACCTTTGTAGAATAGGTGTACCCACCTTGAAATGGCTGGAACATGACGACAAGGCCATGGTCACTTGTTGTAGACTTCGTAGAATCTTCCGTAAATGAAGCAAGGTCCACAAAGCCAGTGAGCTCGCCAGATGGTTTTGCACTGATGTTTTCTGAAAGTTTTACTTCATCGAACGCAAGACCACCACGGCAACTAAACTTGTCTATGCCCTGTGTCTTCAGCTGCAGAGCTGAAATAATCTTAGAATTGAAGCCAAATGCACTCTTGAAACACTGCATATGCTTATCTAGGCAGCATTTACTCGGCAGTGTCATTATCTCCTGCCGCCTGATATGCTCGTATAGTCTGGGACTTCGCATATGCACAAGTATGCATTTTAGTATCTACAGCTTCTTACACTGCATGCCACGGCTTGATTTTCTGCGGGCGGCTTCAAAGCAGGCTTTCACGGCAAGGCGTTATTTGGGTGGAAGCCCACTAATCTTTCTTTCTAGAACAGAGTATGCAATGGAGTCGATCAAATGAAGTTCTGCAACACTCTTCTCGACGTTTGCGAGCTTTCTTCTTGTTCGCATTAATTGGAGAGACTTCTTGGCACTGCATTGCCTGTAGGAACTTAGAGGTTTTTCCTTAAGCCGGTATGACTTGTTCTGCACCAGCTTCTTGGTGTATTTACACCGTAAACAGAGCCTTCCGCGAGTTGAAGCTCCTATGCAGTTTTTTGCGAAGTTTCTGCCTCCAGTGCGAACACACTGGTCTGCGCGGACTGGCTCTATTTCAAATCCTGGGCATGGTATTATGCTATCAGCCCTTGTCGACGCAGCCACAGCCTCGTCAGCTGTTTTCACGCAAGCTTCCTCTACCTTTACGCTGCGACAGAACACACAGCAACGGTACCCAGCTGTATCGGCATGCACGTTATCTCTGCAGGGCGTGAAGATGTGCTTTATACATGAAGAGAGTCTAAACCAGTGGTGTTATGCCGCCCAAAGCATAACGCAGAAGAGTCATTTTGCAGCACCATTCAGTTGCCGAGCGCTGAAGGGAGTGGGATGTCGCTGAACGGGTGCCGTGTTGACTCTGGGCAGCTGTCATTCTCGGGTTCCTGATCAGCTTCGTCTTCCACGTGCTTGTTTCCAGCTCGGCGTTTTGATGCCGGAGTGGAACTCCCTACTAGATTCCTCTCTTTTCTTTTTTTCGGTATGCTCTTAGACATGTGGGAGGGTGCGTCTGGAAAAATAGTTGGGACGGCGTCCTCAGCAAGAGATGGCCGCTCACGATCTATCTCTACAAGCTCTCCATTATTGATGAGCTTGACGGTCCTCACAATGAACCGATCGTCAAAATGATGAGAACACACAACGCATGTCTCGTCCAGCACTCTGTCTTCTCGTTTTATGTTCCTCGCCCATTTTTCTCGACGAAGAGCGTCTGCCGGAGCACGGAACAAGAAAACTTTTTCGGCAAACGTTTTGTACCCGCCTTTGCACTGCGGCACGAAGCATGTCCTGCCTTTCTTAGCAGGCATATTCGAAAATACGAAGAAATCACGGTAATGTCATAGTTGATGTTCGGTGGACACATACCATGTAAGCCGCAATAGCGCAGAAAAGAGGCGTACGTTGACTCACCACGTCCAGAGACGAACAAAACTCGCGCTTACACACAACCAGGCACCAGCACAAGCAAACAATGATCGCAAGCGGCAGCGGGGCCAGATCGTCAGCGCGTCTCTAACTCGGATGGATGGATGGATGGATGGATGGATGGATGGATGGATGGATGGATGGATGGACGGATGGATGGACGGATGGATGGGTGGACGGATGGGTGGGTGGGTGGGTGGGTGGGTGGGTGGGTGGATGGATGGGTGGATGGATGGATGGATGGATGGATGGATGGATGGATGGATGGATGGATGGATATGGCTGTACCCTTTAGATCAGGCGGTGGTTAGCGCCACCATGTCGTAATAGCTAATGAATCAAAAACTAGATTTATTTTTTTTCCTTAAATACTGAGGTTGAGGATTCGCACTTTGCAGTGAAGGGTCTATTTTCACTCGTGCCTTGATTTTAGCCACCAATCAGGCAACCTCCTTCTAATTAATTCTACCCGCTTAAAGTTTATTTGCCCTCACTGTCCCTAAACCCCAGAGCTTTCAAAAACTCTGCGCCATCATCCTGAACTATAGGGTGAAGCACTTTACAGAACATTACTAAGTGTTCGGCAGTTTCTTGTTCCTCTCCACACGCACTGCATACCGTCTTACCCCTTCGTATTTGGCCCGATATGTCTTGGTTCGCAATACTCCCGCCCTGGCCTCAAACAGTAGAGAACAACCTCGAGTATTATTATAGATTCTTTCCTTGGCAATTTCCTGCTTAAAAGTTCGATAGATCTCTAGTGCGGACATCTTAATCATACCAATTCTCCACATTTCGGTCTCAGCTTCCTTCACCTTCTTCGTAACTGATAACTCTTTTTGGTTTGGCCCCCTGCTGTTTTCCAAGTATTTACTAGTCAATTTTCTGGTTCGCTTCCGCCATTTTGTATCGACATTCTTCATGTACAAGTAGCTGAATACCTTCCTAGCCCAACGCTCCTTCCCAATTTCTCTCAATCGCTTTTCAAACTTTATCTTGCTGCTAGCTTCCCTGCCCTCAAATGATGTCCATCCCATATCACCTTGTACTCCCCGATTTGGTGTATTCCCGTGAGCTCCTAAAGCAAGCCTACCTATTCCACGTTGCTTAATTTCTAATCTTGCTTGAACTTCTGATTTCATGCACAAGACTGCATTGTCGAACCGCATTGCCAGGAACCATGACCCCTTTCCATATTCCTCTCACAACATCATACCTATTGTAATTCCACAGTGCCCTATTTTTCATGACTGCTGCATTCCTGTTACCTTTAGTTGTCACGTATATTTCGTGTTCCCTCAGATACGCGGTTCCATTGCTTATCCATACGCCCAGATATTTGTATTTCTTTGTTATTTTTAGCGTGACCTCCTGTATTCTAAGCTCACTACCTTCATTGTCATTAAAAATCATGACTGCTGATTTTTCCTTACTGAATCTGAAATCTAACCTATCTCCCTCATCACCGCAGATGTCCACCAATCTCTGCAAATCTTCCTTGTTGTCGCCCATTAGCACTATATCATCTGCGTAAATCAATGCTGGTAGTGCCTGTTCAATGAGTTTTACTTGTTTGACAAAAGAGAGGTTGAAGCCAAGTCCACTTCCCTCTAATTTGGCTTCTAATCCTTGTAGGTACATCATGAATAATAAGGGTGACAGGGGACACCCCTGCCTAAGCCCCCGTTTTAGCTCTGCAGGCTTGGATACCTGTTTTTCCCACTTTATAATAACCTTGTTACCTTCATAGATATCCTTTAATAGATTAGTGACTACATCTTCCACGCCTAGTGTGTACAGTATTCCCCACAATTCTTCTTGAACCACGCTATCGTACGCTCCCTTGATATCCGAAAATGCTAGCCACAGGGGCCTGTGTTCCTTTTCTGCTATTTCGATGCACTGCGTCAGTGAGAACAGATTGTCTTCCAACCTCCTGTGTTTCCGAAACCCATTCTGCAGTTCCCCCAGCGCCCCCTCATCCTTTATCCATGCCTGCAGTCTTTCCTTTATAATCTGCATCGCCAGTCTGTAGACCACTGATGTCACTGTTATAGGACGGTAGTTGTTTATGTCAGCTTTACCCTTCTACTTAGCGCAGTGCCGCCTAGCGGCGTTATAAAAACACGTTTCACAACGGCGACCCAAAAGGCGCCTGCTCACGACCCTAGCCCAACCCTTCTAGCCTTTTAGCTTCACCTATACTAAATTTGGCAGCACATGACGTGAACAGACGGCGAAGATAACTGACACGTCCAAACATGATAATCATGTAATGCGTATAACGTAAAAAATGACTACTACGTGATGCGCTCATAGCGCTCTCGCGAATGTTTAGCTAGCTTCACATACACCAAATTCGGTTTTTCTTTACATGAATAGACGACGAGTACAAATGCCAGGCGCAAACTAGATTATCATGACATGGAAGTCATGTACGGCAGAATTTAGGTCCACTTGGAAACGTTCTGCTGATTTTCAAGTGGTAATTCAATCTTCGTCATTCGCGCTTCGCATACCATCGATTCCCACTGTACGTGGGATTTACCAAGGTTTCTTAACATTCACACTATAATATTACCGATGTATGTTCTCGCCGTTCCTGAGTAGATATGAAGTGTATCCCCTAGTGGTACATATCGCCCATGGGTATGTGCCACTGGTGATAAAGACTTGATATTTTCCCAGGAACGGTCAGAACATGCATGGGTAATTGAACGCGTGAGCATTGAGGTAATCCTCACAATGGCTGAGTTGACCGGACTAATGTAAAGTAAAAATGTCAGGGTCCCAGTAGGAATGAAACCCTATTGTTTCAGAAGGACTCGAGCACCTGCCTGTGGGTATGTATTTTACTAGTGATCGCGAGAGCAACCAGACAGAGGCAGACGGACACACACACACACACACACACACACACACACACACACACACGCGCGCGCGCGCGCGCGCACAGATAGATAGATAGATAGATAGATAGATAGATAGATAGATAGATAGATAGATAGATAGATAGATAGATAGATAGATAGATAGATAGATAGATAGATAGATAGATAGATGATAGATAGATAGATAGATAGATAGATAGATAGATAGATAGATAGATAGATAGATAGATAGATTCCAACAAAAATGCTTGCAGTGCGCAAAAGAAGAACATGAAAGAGAAAGGAAAGGCAGGGATGTTAACCAGTTCGGCATAATCAGTATACTACCCTACGCAGGTGAAAAGAAGAGTGAACAAAGAGAGTAGGCACACACGCACACGCACACGCACACACGCGCACACACACACCCACACACACACGCACACACACACACACAGAGAGAGAGAGAAATGTCACAGCGCAGAGCAGCAGCCAATGCCACTCGAAAAATTCCTCGGAAATTGAAGCAACCAAGGCATTGCTAACGTGTCTAAGGACAACAGACTTGTACGAGTGACCGTAGGCTGGTGCCGTGAATAGCACAAGAGCTATGTAAAGACAACGTTGTATGCTTAAGCTGCACCTTAGCTAAGGGCGGGGATGTTTTCGGTAGTAAGAGTAAGTACTTAGTGCAAGATACGAGCTAATGTAACAAACAATAAGGAGCCGCTGTAATCGTTCAAAAATTTTTCATTTTATTCTTCCACGTGCTTACTATCCGAGCTCAAATAAGCATTCAAAAGCCCTGATGTTTGATTTTAAAATTCATCACGTGCCGGAAAAAAAGTTCGATTCACTTATCAAGTCAGTCGCCCGCGAGCTCTGAAATTGAATACAGCTAGCAAAAGTCCTTCACGCGAGAGAAGCGGAAGGATAACTTCCGTTAGAAGCTCGCGTTTTTGCGCAGCAGCGAGGGTCGCATCTGTTTCAACCCAAGTGCATGCCACGCACATACGCACAAAATTAAAGGGTAACTTTTCTAGCGCTGCTTTTTTTAAATCTATTATTTTAAAAGAACTGTTCGGTGCGCTATTCCACTTTTCTAGCAGTTAGCACTTGAACAAAGTGAGCTTGGGTACCAGGCTACGAAATCCTGCATAAACACAAATAGAGGACGCGCCTTTGATATGAGTGTCAAACAGCGAGCCAAAAATTAAACCCGCCGACGCAAACCGGCTGGCTGGCTTCAGACACATCCTTTTAACGCTTATGGCTTCACTCTCGGAAGAGAAAAAAGGAAAAGAAAAGTAGACGTTGATAGTCGGAGAGCCCCCATCTGTAAGACGAAGTATAAGATTTTCTTCGGCTTCTCTTCTCGCTAGATAATACCATTCACGAGCACTCACGTATTTCAGCTCCAGTAGAAGGGACCTGGTGATGTCTATTCTCGCCTTGTTCAATGGCTTAATTGCCACGAGAGTGTCCTGCGAACAGCGACGCAGTGTAAATACGCAAAACGTGGACATATTCACTACAGATTGCGAATGATTTTTTTTTTCACTTTGACAAAGTGCGTACAACAGACACCACGGGCACGAAAAACTCTCGAACAGTGGCAAATGTTTGGCGAACGAACGTGTAATCGCTCGCACTGATGTGTCTGGTGTGAAGCAAGTATGTTGACCCAAGTGCCGATTTATCGAGCAATGGTTACATGAACACCACTTCATAGTAGCCGGTCAATAATTGTATTCTTACCTTGTAGTAGGCAGTTCGAATGAACATCTGTCTGTCGTTTCGCAGCGCCAGAGTTTCTGACGACGTGCTGCTCTGCACAACATAAACATCACCAACACGAGTTTTACTGAAATTGTCAAATCAAATCAAAAGAGTTTACTAAGACGTGCACACAAAAAAGATGCGTACATAATAGTTAGACTCTTAGGCTATGTGGCTATAGTAGCTGATCCAATACACGAGAGCACATAAAAGTCTGCAACGCACATGTTTGGTCATGAAAATTATTAGTTTCTACATATGGAAGTTTAAACAATGTAAAATGTACGTATGGAAAGGGGACTATGATTGACTTGACAAGAAAACGCGTTTAGAAGAAAGGTTAAAGTTACGCATAGTTTTTATTTCTTGAGGCACAATGTTGCACGTTTGAGCTTCGAAAAATTCTAACAATATTTCGCCATAGATATTGGTGCAGGGAAAAGTATTTAAATTAGACTGACTTGTTTTCCTGGTGTTTGCAAGCGGGAAGTTGAATATGGTGTTAAGTAGCGAAAAGTGTGTGTACAGTATTTTGTGAACTTGGCAAGTTAGTTTGTAATTTATTAGCGCCGTAAATGAGGGAACATGAAGATCATTGAATAGGATGCTACTGAAGTAATTAGCGGGAGAGACTTAGTATTTAAACATGTTTTTGCACCTGCAACATAGGTCTTAATTAAGTTTTGTATGTTAGGTTCCAAGCCTCACAGCAATAACCGAGGTGTGAACAAAATGGGGAAAAGCACGAGTATATGCAACGAAGTATGGAACGAGGAACATATTGGCACGAACGGACCACTACTTCACTTCAAACGCATCACTTGCTCATTAAAACTCTTGCTTTCCATTCAAAAGATGTCCAAACAATGTATTTAACAGAAGTATAATGATAACTTTCATTGCACCCACTACTAAAAGAGGAATCAAAAGTTGACTACGTTTGTATTAAATTCCACACGTTAGATGCATGCCGGCACTGATCGTAATCCTATACGTGCGTCAAAAATAAACAGCTATCTTATGATGAAAAAACAAACCTCATTACAGCACCCCTTCCTCGGACATTCTTTTCATAAAATATGGTATTTGACTAAAATTTTCGGTGTCTCAGGACCTAAGGGTCTCAGGCGGCAAGTGTATGTGGTGCTTCCATTAGTCGACTAACTTTACACTATAATAACATTGACTCCACGTTTATACCTGTGAGAGACACGCGCGTAGCGCCTCCTTTAGGGAAGCACGTTGACTCTTTACGGCTGTCGCGGGATGCTCACGTCTCTTCTGAAGAGAGTGAGAGTACCACGCGCGTGCGCTCACAGGCATAGAAGTAGCCAAATTACATCTTTTTTTTTCCCTTTTTGCAGTGCAATACAAGGATGCGATATTATAAAAAAGTTTACAGTTTATGAGTTTCGCAAGGAAAATGTAACAAAAATTAGCAGTGATATCGCTATAAATTAAGTGGCCTCTGAGCAAGACAAAGTAAATAAAAAAGAAATAATTGTTAAATGTAGTGACATTTTAGATTGCAAATTCGCACACCAACAGTTGAGCGACTGCTAATGGCGTTATCGAGCAAGGCCACCGTATTGCCATAATGCGGCGCTGTAGGTGAAACATTTATCTAATAGCGTGTGGAGGAAAGAGGCGCTTATAAGCTCCAAAACGTTGCAATGTATACCCCATTGTAGGTGCACACGAGTACAACGGTCAACGCAACTTACATTTGTTTTTCCCAAGCTGATTCTCGATCCAAACGCCCCGTGCTTGTTGGAGAGTGTTTCATTAATATCTTCCCACCGAATCTTCCATGTCATCGACGCAAGTTCAGCTTCCAACTTAAAATGCCTGCGTTCATTCGAAGAGAAGAAACACGTGTTGTTAACAATACATTCGACGTTACCTATTTCAAATGCTACGGGCAGGACGACTGGTACTTCAGGCGACATTCATAAGGCACTGTCTGCGAATGTGTCAAAATCATGCAGCATATTTTCAAAGCACTCATTATTTCATTCTAAGAAAGAAAATGAAGCAATGTGCTGTTTTGTGCAATTTTCAGTAATTTTCAAATTAGTGCACAATTGAACATTTAATTTCCATTAAAGTAATCACGCCTCATTTTCACACGAAAAAAAATCATTTGCACCAAACTGCTTGCATAAGTGGTTTTGGTTGTACCCATTTCAGGGACAAAATATTCGACTTTGGCCCTAAAGCAAGCCCCTTCGAACGACCCATCCAATATCTCAGCACCTTCAGAAAAATGCTCTATTACCGCCACACTCAGCACACTAAAGGTTAGTCAATACATACAGACTATGTAGATGACTCAGTACATCAAATGAGCAATGCATGTTGCTCTCTTTTGACCACACGTTGACACAACAAGCATAAAAATTTCTGCACGCAGGCACCACCCCCGAAAGGGATATACGATATGAGAGTGAAGACACATCTTCAGATAATTATCCGCTATGCAGCAATAAAGTGAATTTGCTCCAATTAGACGTGCACATGTAGACAGCAGCATAAAATGGGGGCATGACTTATCTCAGTACAAATTCTTTACGTGAAAAAGTGACGTCGCGGTTATATTTGTATAAATTTTCACGTTCCCCAGATTATTATTTTGTAACATACAGAGGTGCAAGAATGGGTGTTCGTCTATTTTCCCTCTTGTTCGTCATGCATTACTGCTGCTGTAGCCATCTGCTTGTTGCTCATAATTTTTTTACATTTAATCCAAGAAAAGTCAACAGACGGGGGAAGTAGAAACAGTACCTGCACTACAGTCAAATATATGCGCTACAACAAACCGACAAATTAGGAATAATCAATACAATGCTTACTTCGCACACATTCAAGTTAATCTTTAGCAAGCCGAATACAGTTCCACTTGTCGTGACGAATGTATTTTAAAATGTGCATCAAGGCAGAAAAGCATCACTTCAATAAAGCGGATAGTGTGAATGGCTTAGAAAAGAGATCACTGTTGGAAGAAAAAGTTGAACTTTTGCAAAAAGTACTCGTTACACGTCTCATCATCGTTTTTTTAACTAGAAAACAATGTACCTCGGCAAGAATAAACTGAAACGTGTCATAAAGGTCGAACAGGAGTGGTGCACTTTGTAATTACCTGTAAACGAAGAATGAAGCGAGGCATACTATAATCATGAGAGTTCCAAGTACTGATGTGATGATCACGTATTTGCCTTGGCTCTCTGAAAGCAAGAAGAAAAACGTTCGGTGAAATTAACAAAAAAATATGTATCATGTGATCATATTGGATACAAAGCCAGGTAGAATGGTTCAAGCATTCTTTGTATAATGAAATTATATGAGGAAGCTTGCTTTTGTAAAATACCTAGTTTACTCGAAAGATGTTTCCTTAGAGAATATACACTCAGAGGTTGCTCACGAACGTTTCCGTTCCCCATTTTTAGTGGCATGGCAAATCGATATGAAAAAGAGGATATACGAGATGGAGAAACATCTGACCTGCACTGGAGAGGGGGAAGCTATGCATTCACAAATCGCTTACCTTTCAATTTTCTCACTTACAAAAATTAACTGGGCAGGAATCAAAGTCTGCTTGAGGAGAAAGTACGACTTGACGCGCGTTGCGCGCCATACCACATGGCCTATGCCGAAAGCTTCATTCGCAAAGAACATCAGAAGAAGCGAGGATGCCTTAACGAGATTAACCTGGAGAGATCGGGGGCGCGAAGCAGGGGATGCAAGATTTCCTTTATGATCGGTCAGCTCTCCTCTATTCTTTATTCATTGAATACCCCGCAGCACCCGAAGGAATGACGTATATCATCGTACGCACACAAAATACATCAATAACTGAAATACACATTTGTTCACACACATAATACAGTTATTTTCACAGATATATGCATATTCGTTCAGCTTACAGCAAGGGATTACAGCATTGAATAAAATACATCTTCATTCGGACTGCGTGCTTGCTTTTCAGTTAACTTCTTGCACTGTTTAATTGTTATAGGGAAAAAATGATGTGGCATACATGTTCGTTTTAGCTTGGTATTCCAGAATCTTGCAACTATGATAAAAACGTTTTGATATGTAATGAGGTTTATGTAGGTAAATGTCTCTATTAATTCAAGTTTTATTATTGTAAATCAAATAAGGAAACTTAAATCTCTGTTTATGCCGGTGGTCACCAAGACACTTCCATCCTAGCTCAGCCTCCATTGCAGTGCAGCTCTCCCACCTTCCGTACCGTCCTAAGACGAACCTAGCAGCGCGATTCTGAATTTGTGCAAAAGCGGCAGTGAAGGTTACCTCGGCGGGGTCCCACGCGACACAACCGTATTCCAAGATAGGTCTAATACAAGTAGTGTATGCCATGCGTTTTAAATTCACATGCGAACATCGCAGGTTTTTCTGAATAAAATTTAAGGCCTTACAAGCTTTCGCTATGAGAATGTCCACCTGAGGCCTCTATGAACACTCAGATGATAGTAGCACCCCTAGATGCTTATACGTACTATCTTGTTTCAACTGTTCATTCTTCAGATGATACCATAACTGAAATGGTTTCATCTTTTAGTAAATTAAATATGTACACACTTTGTTATATTTATATTCATTTTCCATTTGATACATCAGCTATGAATCAGTGGTAAGTCTTTCTGAAGTTCTGTTGTATCTTTGGGATAAAAAATTATTTGTACAAAACACAGTAATCCGCAAGCGACCGCATAGAAAATAAAATTCTTGCAGAGATATCATTCAACAGATGCCAAAAGGCAGGCTCCCATTCACACACCTCCTGTCCTGCTGTGATTGGTCGATGCCGCAAAAATTTTGCTTCCCCTAATGAACTTGCACTCATTCTATGGGCCAGGTGGAATGAGATTGGAGATGGGCAGGTTATAATTCGTGTCTCGGCGACCCCTCTTTAAGAGCTCGGCAACTCTTCCCTCTCTGTCGCCCATCGAACGGTGAAAGTTCGATGCCTTGAAAATTGGGACGAAGAGTGAAATCTAAAGCGTATGTAAGCATGGAATTCTTTTTTCCCAAGGTGTACATGCGGATCCGCGTTTACAGAAATTACCAGTACTTCAGCGAAGAGAACAAGGCAGCACAATCGAAGAACCCCAGTCCAACCTTTGCCGGCGTGCTTAAGGCTTTCAAATCGAAATGGAACAGAAGGCTATTTTTTGTGTTTAGTTATTAGGCGCATGTGACGTTGTACCAATAAAGCTGGCATAATATAGAGAACTAAAACCTCATATCGTCTCACGTGTGTGTTTGCTTTTCTTGTTTGTCACTTTGTCGTTAAGACGCACTAGTATGTACTGTCCTTGATCGTTCTCTTTAACTATAAAAATAAAGACTTTCATCGTGTAATCGTAACTTCCAGCTTCATGATATCCTCGCTAGCTCTGCGCATACACGTCAGGTGGTGCTTGAGCAGGTGTATACACCCCAAGTTATCTTCTAAAGCAGGGTCTCCTTTGCACTGCCGTCATACGCATCTGTTCAGAACTAGCAGCCGTCACGTACAAACATTAAGAAAGAACATTACGAGAAATGTACTATAGTCCGAAATTCTGATGCAAGCACGTTTCAAGAGGAATGGGCGATTCACTTTCATTTACACGCAAACCTACGAGAAGAAAATTTTAAAGATAGGGTTGGCTGACCAATAAGGAGCTTCTACTTTAATGCATTTCGTGCTTTCGTTTTGAACCGTCCTTGTAGTAAAAACACAGGGCGAAAACTTCGGATGCGGCAATCGAGAGCCACTCTCCACTTATCGCTACACCTTCTTTCTGTCGGCGTTCCATTTCTTCAGAAAAGTGCAGGCGAGATAATCACAGCTCCTTGCAGACTCCCTCGGGAAATTTGTTCATGAGCGTCTACCCTTTTACGCCGAAATGAATTCGACATACGTATATGGCACAAAAAAAATGAAATAATAATCTTTCTAGCACCTGACTACACATTTTGTTTTTACAGGAACAGAGAACTGGCCAAACAGGCAGCTTCAAAAGTCATCAGGCGAAATAGGCGATAAAGCTAAAAAAAAAACTGAACAGGTCGCTCTGGATGGGAAGCGCGGTAAGACCATCGTGTATCCAAATCTACGCTCTATAACAAACCTTTTACTTAACCAGTGCTGAAAGTCATTTGATTACAGAAGCTTCCGTGACCGTATGTGTCTACGCTGACTTCTCATAAATCATGATTGTCAGGGGGCCACCGACTCAAGAAGTAATTTATTTATTTATTTAAAAATACTGCAGACCCTACTCGGGCCCAAACAGGAGTGGGAATATCATTAAAAACAATACCAACAATAAAGCTTAGAACTGTCGACAACTTAAGTAGTAAACAGCAAATAACTAGGAAAAGAAAATGAATAAATAAATATGCTTCGCAGTAACAAATACACAACATTATAAATGATAAATATGCACGTACAATATTTCAACACATGAGATGAACGCTATGCATAAAAAAAACACGAGAATGAACTAAGACGAATAATAAGGTGAATGCTAAATCCGATCACGCGTGTCATAGACAAACACACACAAAGAAAATTGCTACGAAAAGGCGTCACATGAAAATTAAGAAAACGAAAATTGTGAAGCTATTTTACCAACGAACCAAAGTTTTTTTCTTAACCATCAGCAAAAGTTTTGGCTTGACTGCTCTGCATTCTGAGTTAGGGACACCAGCATACTACTGTTTACAATGCCCACTGATTGGCTTGTAGAGGAAAGGTGGGCAAGTAGGTGAGCAAGCGCCGACAGCTCAGTGATACATCCGTGCTTTCACCACCCGTCGAAGTACGCATCGGGAGGGCGCCTATAAAAGCTGCTGAAAGGCCTGAAAGTCAAGCTGCGAAAGTTCAGGATTAATCCCTTCACATAGGGACGTGCGCACGTGGAAACCGTTATGGGAGCAGCTCATCAACCGTAACGCAAACCTTACCTCGACTCAAAAAAATTAATCATTCGAGGCTCTTCTTTAAAGCCAACGCTCAGCTGCTGCCCCGCAGGTCGTGAGATCAAATCCCGGCTGCACTTTCGATCAAGGCGAAAATGCTGTAGGCCCGTGTGCTCAGATTGGGGTACACGCTAAAGGACCCCAGGTGGTCGAAACTTCCGGAGCCCTCTACTAAGGCGTCTCTCATAATTGTATGGTGGTTTTGGGACGTGAAACCTAACATATCAATCAATCAATTGAAAGCTAACATGACGGTGGCCATAGCGGCGCTTCCTGCAACCGAAGCATGTTACAAAGACGCGTTGGCAATCTAGAGAAGACGTTTCGGTGATACAAAGCGCTTGAAGCAGGAATATTCATCAAGGCTTGCTCCAACAAAGAAGCCAAACTCCCCAAGCTGTAGGACCAAGTGCTAATTAACAGCTGCGGATGGGAGAGTCTTGCTGTTAGCAGGTCGTCTTTCTCATCGACGCTTTGCGACGTTCCGCTAAGGGCTTCACCAACGTACGATCTCAGTTGGACAGTGCACATAGAAACCAAAAAGGCCTTAAAATTATTTTTCTTAAAGAGGACGCTGAAGCACACCGACCAAGACACTGAAAATCTAGCATGCGTCCCACTTGTCAGGCCAATCTTGGAGTATGCTAACATAATCTGGTTCCCCTTCTCAGGTAGTGATCTCAGCACGCTTTAAAATGTACAGCTTAAAGCGATTCGATTTATTTTACACCAGTATCGCAGCCTCCACCATCCAACTGAACTACTACGCCACGCTGACCTTCCCACACTCTTGAGTCAAGCAAAAATTCGCCCCCTGAAATGTTATGTCAATTATTGCACAATTGCTTTAAGATAGACCACGCAAGATACGTGAAAACCAAGGCGAAGAAAGAAACACGTCACAGAAATGATCACACACTTCAAGAATGCTCGTGTAACAACAATATATTCTATTCTCTTTCTTCCTAGATGCATTAGAGAAGCAAATGCTCTTGACCGATTTATAGCCGAACAGCGTGCAGTTGATTGCTTCATAGAAATGTTGCAAAATGCACCTAGCACTTAATGATAAGCTGGGTGACATAATGCACTCTATTTTCATTCTACGATTGCCTCCTAGTATTGGGTTGTTTGCCAATATTTGTATTTACATCAACTGTTACAAATGTGCTTACTTTT